AAAAAAGCAAGAGGAGGGAGTGGTGGCACATGCCTGCAATACCAGCACTCAGGAGGCTGAGGCAGGAGGATCACTGTGAGTTCGAGACCAGCCTGGGCTATATAGTGAGTTCCAGGTCAGTCTAACTACATAGTGAGAACTTGTCTCAAAAAAAAGATAAAAGCAGGGCTGGAAAATTAGTTCAGTGGTGCCTCCACCTGTTTTGAAAGTGCAAGGTCCTGAGTTCGATCCCCTGTACCAAAAGAAAGAGTAAAGGCAGAAAAAAGAATACTGTCTTAACAGCCTTTTGTCTCTTACTTGTTAGGTATAAAACTGGACTTAGGGTAAAATTATTTATAAAATTTAAATATTATTTTCTGGAGAACTATAATATAGATCAAATGATAAGTAAAGGTGGTAGGCGTAATTATGTCAATTAAAAATTTTGAAAGTCAAGGAGTGGGTCCCCATTTAATGAAGGCTTCTTGTTCAATAATTTAGGTCTACCTTCTTTTTTTTTTGGTAGTGGGGATCAAACTCAGGCCCTTGCGCTTGCGAGGCAGGCAGCAGAACCACTGAGCTAAATCCCCAGCCCATCTTGTTCAATAATTTAAAGAAAGTATCAGCAGTGGTAAGATTAAGATTGAAGAGTTTTAAGATCTCTTCTCTTAAAATGTTGCAAATTCTTGGACCAACAACTTGATCAGTCTTCTCTTGTCATGATCATATACAAGAGTCATGTCATATTTACTGAGGTCAAACTTAAGGGGAAGTTCAAATGTAAAAAGAAAACAGCTACAAGGAAATACGAATTCTGTCTACTCTTAGAAAATTCTCAGTTTTTGTAATAATTGACATTACAGAAAGATTTTCTGCTTTAAGAAGGATGTCAACAAAAAATTTAAAAGAGAGCTTGCACTTACATGTGTAATAAAATATACACTACTTCATTCAGTTAGGATAAAGAGATGCCAAACTTGTTAATACATTAGAAAGCACTCAAACAGCAATACAAAATGGAAGGGGAAAAAGGTAGCCTTAACATTAGAGCCTAACTCAGTGGAAAAAAATTCAAATGATATTTATTTTTTCATGAAAAAAACAATATTTATTTGTTTTATTTTTAAATAAAATTAAAATTTACTACATTTTCTGGGATCTTATTTTGAGATTCAAATCATCATATGTACAATGACCTACTAATTCCTAAAACTATTTTCTAAATAGTATTTTAAATGTTGACATTTTTAATGATATATAATCTCCCATTTTTCTTAAATCAAGGCCAAACTAAGACACATTTCAAAGCAACCTCTTGAAAACACCTAAAGTCTCTTTATCCATACAACTAACTACCTAACAAAAATGGCAAAAATATTTTCTGCCAGATTCTATCCTTCTTCTGAGGTTGTAACATGGTATCTTACTTTACTGTCAAAGTTTGAAATTTGGACAATTAAGCACTTTCAAGAATAAGACTGGCTCCATCATTTATATTGCTTTTTTAAGTCAATGGGAAGTAGGAATATTCACTCAATAATTCCATATAATACAGCTTTTAGAGATAATGATGGTTTCATACCTCCCTTTCACACTCGATATCATGAGCAAATTGAAATGTATCAATATTTTGAATTAAGTATTTAAAATATTATATCCAAGGCTGGGATGCAGGTCAGTCAGTGATACAGTGCTTGCCTGGCATGAGAAAGGCCCTGAGTTAGAGCCTAGATAGATAGACACATAGATAGATAGATAGATAGATAGATAGATAGATAGATAGACAGACAGACAGACAGACAGACAGTCAGACACACAGACATACACACACACACAGATAGGAAGGAAGGAAGGACGGACGGACTGTGTATGTGTGTGTGAATTTCACTATTGGGGATTGAACCCAGGGCCTTCACACTGAGCTGCAAGCCCAGCCCTTTTTTAATTTTTTTAATTTTGAGACAGGGACTTGCTAAGTTTCCTCAGCCTCCCAGAGTGCTGGGCTTAAAGGTTTGTGCCACCATGCTCAGCCAAAATTTTCCCTTTGTAAAGTCCAAAAAAATATTTTTCGTAAAGCTTTAAATCATTCTCAAACTTACCTATATAAGCTGAAATTTTGCCCTATCTGCTTTTCTTAAAGGTATCCAAATAGGAATGATCAGGTATATACAAATAAAATTTAATAAAGAGAAATTAGGTGAAATGTTAGGGAAGAGCCTTCACTAAGAAATATAGCATAATGAAAAAAATATCAAATTTTTATCTATTCGTGATTACAGCATTTTGATCAATCATAATTTTTATATAATCTGTTTCTTCACATTTGAAACAGGTGATGACTTACAAGTTCATTTGTTCTTAATTAAAAAAACCGCATATTACTAATAGTAAGCAGGCTGATCTTGTTCCATTAGACAGATCACTCAAAAAGTGCTCTGCTGATCAGCTTATATATAGGTTTCATGCAAAACAAAGAAATCTTGTACTAAAGAAAGTGGCAAGTCCTTACTCATGTAAACTTCAATTTTATAACAAAAGTAAGAGGATTTAAACATTTAAGATAGCAATGGGATCACACCTGAATGCAATGTAGGACATTCCTAATCTAGCAGGTCTCGACATTAGTATTTTTCAAGGCTTTGAGACCAGGCTAACATTGAATTTACTTCCCCACCACATAATATGGTTATTAGCAAAATAGATGTCACAGTTTAGGGTCAGCAACAGTGGATAAGAACAGAAGTCAGGACTCTGTCATAATAGGAAAGTTAGATAATAAGAAAAATGGAATGCATAAGTAAACATGGTACTGTTAAATTAGAATATACTGATAAGAACCAGGGTGGCATCTTGTCATGAAGTAATATCTATGCTCCCAACCACAGGTCATTAAACTAGTATTTTCCTAGTATCTTAAATTAGTAAAAAGATTTCAGATAGCATAGAGTTTTTCAAGTAAGATTTTTGTTGTTGCATTTTTAAGTAAACACTAAAAGGTTCTGTAAGTGTAAGTTTTAACTACTAGATTTTTGTATAGTGAAAAGTAAATCTTTTTACATTAAAATCTGGGTTTTAAAGAAAAATAAGGCTGGAAAAATGAAATCGTAAACACACAACTATTCTCTCTCACCTTTCATTGTAAGCTAATAAGAACAAATACGTATAGAGTGAGAAAAATATATTCAATATTGTAAAGCCAAAAAGTTAACTTATTTTTATTTCTATACTGATGCTTTCCTTTTTCATGATTTTTAGGACTGATCCCTAAGTATATGGGAGCTCATTCTAATAGTTTTTCATAATAGCAGAAATTAGTTTTTGTCGTGTTGTGTTGTTGTGTTGTGTTTCTTGTACCAGGGATAGAACTCGGGTCCTTGAACTTGGGTGGCAGGTGGCGGAACCACTGAGCTAAATCTCCAGACCAGAAATTAGTTTTTAAAAGGAGGAAAACAGTCAGATTCCAGTCTCTTCTGATAGATGACCCATCAGAAACTGGGAGGGACCCACTAAAGTAAGACTGTTACAATGAACCTTACAGTTATTGCACTGACAATGCACACTAAAATAACCAATGTCCAAAAACAACATCAGTTCTTCTCAATTACCAGGGACTACATTTAACTAATGTTGCATGTTAAGTATATTTCCCCATGTATGTGATTTTAGAAGGCTGGTCAAACATCCCAAATAGGGATGGTTAAATATTATTTCCAAAGACAATCAGGACAAGAATGACAATGAAAGAAAACACAGATTGTTGGACTTCAAAAAATAAGGAAACAGAATACTGGAGAAGAACACAAGACAACTAGAAAAGAAACAAGGATACATGTAGATTATGAATGTGCACATTATATAACCTAGGTTTCTCTAAATTCAAAGCAAATGCATATTAATTTTTTTCTAATAGGCACATTTAATTTTTTTAATGTTTCCGATTAACCTCAGGATTCTTAATATTATACAGACAAGAACAGTATTTTAATGCTACCTCTTTTGGTGTACTACTTGGCAACATCAAATGAAAGATTAAGAGATTATTCAGTTATTTAACTTCATTTTTCTCCTGCTTTTCAAAGTATAAGTATACTAGGCTAAAAATCTGAATTTGTAACAAAAAATATGTTACAAAATTAATTTTAAAATTCTATAGTGAAAAATGGAACAAGGTCAAATGGGCCTTGACCAACTAATGAGTATTGTGCAAAAAAATCCTACCATTTGTGTAACTAACCAGGTTGCTTACCAATCACCAAGTAACGTACCAGAGCTTTCCAAAAGTGTCTAAAACATTTAAATATTCTTAGGGGCCAATGTATCAGCCCTACAGAAATGTTATCATGTACGGAACTGAGTCTTATTACTTCTATGTTCACATTACTACTGCATTTAATAATTCTACATACACTCAACACAATATATATTATAGTAATTTATAAGAAACACTTACTGGGTAAATTTTTTGGAGGGATGGAAGGATGGGTTCAGGTAGGGCTATAAAAAGAAAAAGTTTAAAGCTTCTGTGATTCACATGATTCATGTTACAATACAATAATCTGTCAACTACACCACAGGTGTAAGACTATAAGGGTTTACACTAAAATTCAACAGTTTTTATATATTTAATGAAGTTGTTTCCTGAAAATGTAAATTTAAAATATATCTAAGTTGATAATTTAAGGTTTTGTTAATTACGTATATTCCTATGTAAATCAATGTTATTTCTGAGGATTTAGAGTAACAGGATACCAATAAAGGGATATAAGTCATTTAATCCTACATCAGACACATGCACATAAAATAAGCAAGACAAAAAGTATTCTACAGACACTGTTAAAATGGAGGTAACTATCAAAAATGTAGTTCAATTATATTATACCAGGAGAGAACAATTCTATCATAATTATTTCTTTATTATTTAATTTTCACTAGCAATACCAAAATTGAGATAGTTCTAGGAAACTGATCTATTGAAAAAGTACTGAACTTTTGAAAAGCACATCTTCATAATGTATTTTCAAAAGAGTATCTTGGCAAAGGTTAGAAATATAAATCAGGAGGTTTGCACCACTCTGCTATAAAAATTTCATGCAAAGAATTATTATCCTCATTTTATCACCTTTTTCTAAAAATAATTCTTCATTAGTTTTAGCCAAATTTAATTTCATTAGATTCATTAACAGTAATCTCACATCATTCTAATATAAACAATATGATATCTTGAGTATGGCAAAACACACATACATTTTTAAGATTTCTTTAAAATAAAAACAAGGGCCAGGGATTTAGCTCAGTGGTTCCGCTGCCTACCTCACAAGCACAAGGTCCTGAGTTCAATCCCCAGTATCAGAAATAAAAAAATAAAATAAAATATATAATAGCATATGATAAACTTTAAGTAGAAATATAATTAAACTAAATTAAATATATATTAAAATACATACTAAAATAATCATACTTAGTAACAAGTGTATTTGTTAACAAAATCTTTCAAAAATTACTTAATGGGGCTGGGGATTTGGCTCAGTGGCCCCGTGCCTGCTTCGCAAGCACAAGGTCCTGAGTTCGATCCCCCACCCACACCAAAAAAACAGAGAGACTTATAGAATACATTAATGTTACATGTTATCAACCACTAGACCAAGTGTCGTGGTCTCCAACTATAATTATAAATTTCTACCACAGAGTAGAAAGTAGGATGATTTAAATTTCCCTCCTATATTAACTGCTACATTCCCAAATTGAAAACTAGAATCAAGTAAAATTCTGTAATAATATCAATGTATGCAGCACATGACTGGGAATATTGAAGAAAACAAAAGTTCACACATTTCTTATGCAAAATCAGTCTTAGGAAGTAAGATAAGATAGATAGATAGATAGTCTGTATAATATATGTGCATATTTTTTCTTCCCCAAAAGCATTTAAATGCTCAAAGCTCTAAAGACCCTCCAAGCAAATTCAAGCCCCAAGCCCTTTAACTTTAAACATCTCTATATTTGTATAACACTTTTGTCTAACAATTTTTGTTATAAGACATAAGTCAAACTGAAAAATCTTACTAGAAATTAGTTTACTTAAAAATTTGTATTCCTTTCCTACTGAGTATCACACAAATTTAAATTATAATAAAACAAAGGATAAAGAAAGAGAATCTGAATGAAAAAATTCCTATTCTAGTACTATATCTAGAAGGACAGAAGGGAAAAACAAATATCAACCGATGGTTTAGGATCTTTCATAGAACAAAAGAGCCTTTAAAAGTAAACAATTTTGAAGCTTTTGGAGACAAGGGTATCATTCAGTAATTTCCCTGTTTTCAATCTTAAAAGATTAACACTTATCATTAGAAAAGCAATGAGTATACTACAGCAGTTATTTATTAACATTAAGTAGATAGTGGCCTCAAAAAGTTTTTTAAATGTTTGTCTTACTCCAAAGCAACATTAATGCTGAAAAAAAAATCTAGCTATAACATCTCTTTTGACTTCAAAGTTTTATACTATAGACTAAATCTTTTAGATGTGTTTTAAGAGCAAACTGACCATTTCCTGGCCTCAAACTCCTACAGTAATCCTCCTGCCTCAGCCTCCCAAGTGCTGATTACAGGCATATGTCACCGCTCACCAGTTTATCATTATTTCTACCCAATTAATAAGCTTACCTATATCATTAACTCAATCATAAATAGTAATTAAAATATTTTACTGGACTTTTTTCCCGCAAGCTTTGATTAGTAAACTTTTCAAACATATGTAGTCTACTATTAAAATATATTCTAGGAAATATTTTAGTCTTTTCAATTTAACATATAGAGAATGTTTCTTTATTCATGGCAGGAAAGATATTAAAACATTTAAGAAGTTAAAAGAAACTTAAAGGTCATGTTATCCAAGGACTCATGCTATAGATGAGAATATGAAGGACAGAGAGATACAGTAACTTGATCAATATCACAACAACAGTTCCTTGTGGCAGAGTAAGTAGATGGCAATACTTCATCAAAAATAAAACAATAAAATAAAAACCAAATTTTAATATGATTCACTGGTAAGATACTAATGCTTGAATTTTCAAACTGCTTAGTACATTTTCTAATCAAGTCAATCAAATTAAAAATTTTAATGTAACTAGTAAAAATAGAGGGACATCACATATTATGGATGTTCATACATAACAAAAGGTTTAGTCAAATCCAACCTTTAAACCACTACTAAAATTAAAATGTGGACAGTAGATGGTAGTATATCATTCTTTATTCTATTAAAATTTTATAAGAAATCCTAATCTATTCAATTCCTATTAAGTGAATGGCAATAGACAGAGGTCACAAAAAAGTAGTGTCTTTCAAACTGAACAATAAATTGGGACAAAACCAGCATGTTTCAAATCCTTTTAAAGGAACAATCAAGCCAGATAACCAATTTAACAATACATATATTATGATAAGCTTGAAACTTTTAACAATGAAAACAAAGATTATCAAACCTTTCTGATGATTAAGTCATTAAAACTTAGGCCCATTTAAACTAACTTGTCTTTTTCAATAATTAAAAAATCATTTGATATCCACTGTTCTATCTTATATATAAATCCATATATGCATCCCTGATTACTACCTTAATATAAATTCCTAGAAATGGAATCAAGTCAAAGAATATGAAGATAAATACTACAACTACAACACTGCTTTCCAGAAGGGTTGTACCAAACTGACACACTCACCATGAAGGTGTGAATCCATACTGTAATTTTGTTTAGCCAACTTAATATTTCTTGTCTGCAACTAAACTTTTGATGATTAAATAGGAGCCTAGGGGTTAGGGTTAAGAATCTAAAATGGCAAATTCATCCTAAGAACATACTATATCCTTTAATGAGCAAGGAAATAAAAGGTTGATATCTAGTGAAAATTATAGAACATTAACATGAAATACTTTGGTGAAACAATTTTACCCTATTTTCAGATGAGACTGGAGATGTGCCCAAAGATAGAATCAAGACTTTCTTAAGAACAAGCTTTGAGCTAAGTAGGAAGTACAGGCCACAGAATTATCCATCAAGGAAAAAATCTTCCTGAACTGTGATGGAGGGCCCCCTCCATTCTTAATACTCTTGGAGATGGTCTCTCCACGATTATGAGATTATATCTGTATTACCTTTTTGGTGTTAATATGTACCATTTTTTATAAGTCATGGCAGTATGAGATTTTTGGTTCTGATAAGACAAAAATGAAAAAGACTGGTTCTGCTATTCTTTGAAGTAAAGTCTGGGCATAATGCACAGGTAAAACAAATATAAGAATACTATTTATTTAAGAAAACAAAGCTTTTGCAAAGGGAGGAAAAAAAAAACAAATACAACCAAATACATAGTTATTCATTTGTCCAAAATCTGGAATTAACAGAACTGAACTTGGCATTAAATGTTTGACTAGATATGTTTTGAAACCCTGGCAAAAGAAACAAAAGTTGGAAAAATTATAAAAAATAAATATTAACAATAAAAAGTTTGGTGTGAAAATATACATAGCTTACTGTTTTTTTCCTTCTTTTTACTTTAGTGTATTTTCAAGATTTTCTATGTATATGCACAAATTACTCAAGCTGAATTTTTAATTGTAAAATAACTTTAATGTAGCTTTAATTATTATTTTAAATAAAATAATTCTGAAACAAAAGGAAAAATTAAGTATGTGACCAAGAATCTTATTAACGCTTCTTCCAATTAAAATGCTGAGACTGAATAATGGAGAAATAATTTTTTTCATGGAGTCTGAGAAATAATTTTGTTCAGTCATTCATTGCAAATAAATTCTTATGCTAGGGCAGACATCCAAAGATTCTTTATGACAACTCACCTTATCTTTGAACTGCCCTTTATTAAGGCACTGGTATGACAATCTTTTGGATACTACTTTCAGTAAATGACTCTACAAAGACATGCCCAATTTGGCTAGCACTTCCCCATTCCCTATCAAAAAGAACCACAGTATTCCAGGACGTTACAAAACTACACTTCACAATTTGGACTACTGATCCACACGCCAAGAAACATGTCTTCTCCTTTTCCCAAAGCCCTTAATGCAGAAGTACTGCTGTAAGGGTACCAAATCATCCCAACTTCCTCAGCCCTGACTTTTCTTCTGTCTTAGACAAAGTGGCTGATGTAAACTGTTATCTGTCTCAGAACCTAAATATAAAAAGCACCAAAGAATACAATAAAAAGATGCTTTTAAATAGTTTTTTCTCAATCATCACTCCATTGTAATAATTCATTATAGAGCATGTGACTGATGCAGGAGAAACATAACTTCTAACACAGTGAATGTTAGATGTGCCAAGTTCATGTCCCCTGAAATTCGAGAATGAATTTTAAAGGACAATGCAGGTTAAGAGTAGGAAAGGTTTACTGAGAGATGGCTCCTGAGATACAGGAGAGGTTCTAAAGGTAGGCTACCTCTGAGGTCCTATGTTAGAGATAATTTACACAGAAAAATCACTATATAGATAAAATGTGGATCACACTATAATCAATGTATAGCATTACAAGTATAGCTGCTTAGCTAATATTGATCTACTAGGGAAGCAGGTCACATACCAAGGGTACACACAGAACAAAGGCATTTTGGGAAGGAGTGCTCTGGTCACCACCTGGGGAAATGATGCTGCTCTGGACTTCCTGGACCAGGTGGTGCTAGTTACAATGTAATTTCAAGTTATTGTTTATTCCTTAAGGAAGCAGTGGGTCTGGCCATTCCATCCTTACCCTGAAGCCTGGTCTTTTTCAGATGTGCCTCCAACCACAATTTTGATGTCTTTATTTTTTTCTGCTGATTCTTGGAGAATCCAGTCTCACTCTGGATTTATATTAATTTCTATCTGACTTAGCTGCTTATAATATCATACTGAGGGTAAACTATCAGCATCTCAACTCATAAAACAGGTCACATTTTATTAGTGACCCACAACTTTTAATATTTACCAATACTTCATTATTTGGTAGGTCACAACTGTTAAAATGTTTCCAATTTTACATGTTCAGAATTCAAGCCCCATAAAGATTACCAATGTTCAATTAGGAACAAGATTAAGGATGTACACTATCACCACTCTTATTCAATATAGTTCCAGAAATATTATCCAGAGCAATTACACAAGAGAAAGAAACAAAAGGAATAAAGAGGGAAAGGAAGAAGTAAAATTATTATCTGCAGATACTCTACATAGAAGACACCAAAAACTCCACCAAAAAATTAGATTTACTAACCAAATTTAGTAGTATAGCTGGATACAAAGTCAACACCCAAAAATCAACAGCATTCCTGTGCATAAATAAACTCACTGAGAGAGAAATTAGGAAAACCACACCTTTTACAATAGCATCTCAAAAAAATTAAATACTTAGAAATCAATCTAACAAAGGAAGTAGTAAAAGACCTTCACATTGAAAACTGCAGTACTCTGGAAAAGAACATCAAAGAGGATATCAAAAAATGGAAAGGTAAACCAGGTCTGGTGGCACACATCTGTAATCCCAGTACTCGGGAGGCTGAGGCCAGAGGATCAATGTGAGTTCGAGACCAGCCTGAGATACACAGTGAGTTCCAGGTCAGTCTCAACTACATAGACCCTACCTCAAAAAGCCAAAAAAAAAAAAAAAAAAAAAAAAAAAAAAGGAAAGATATCCCCTGTTCTTGGGTCAGAAGAACCAATATGATGAAAATGGCCATACTCTCAAAATTGTTATACCAATTTAATCCCATTCAAAATACTATTAGCATACCTCACAGAACTAGAGAGAACAATCCTAAAATTCATTTGGAACTAAGACACCTAGAACAGCAAAAGCAATTCCAGGCAACAAAGGCAAGGCAGGGGGCTTCACAATCTGACTTGAAATTAGACTACAAAGCTATAGTGATAAAAACAGCGTGGTACTGGCAAAGAAAAAAAAATACAGATAGACCCCAAGAACCAATGGAATAGACTAGAAGATGAAGAAATAATTCCAAATACATTCGGCCACTTTATCTTTGAGAAAAAGGGCCAAAAACACTTTCCCTGGAAGAAAAATAGCCTCTTTAATAAACGGTGCTGGAAAAACTGGCTTTCCACATGCTGAAGATTAAACCTACAACCATATCTTCATCTTGCACTAAACTAAAATCGAAATTGATCAAAATCTAAATATTAAAACAGAAAGAATCTGCTGGAAGATAAAATATGTAGAACTCTTGAAGACACAGATGTAGGCAAAGACTTTACAAATAAAACCCCAATCACAAAGGAACTATCACAAAGAATCACAAAGAACGGGATCTCATCTTTCTAAAAAGCTTTTGCACAGCAAAAGAAACCACCAACAGAGTAAAGAAATAACCCACATAATGGAAAAAAATTTTTGCCAGCTGGTCCTCAAAGCACTATCGTGTGTGTGTGTGTGTGTGTGTGTGTGTGTGTGTGTGTGTATAAATAACTCAAAAATATTAGAACCTCAAATTTAAAACCTGGTCCAAAAATGGGCATCTGAAATGAACAGATACTCCTCAGATGAAGAACTAGAAACAGCAAATAAATGTATGAAAAAAAATGTTCAATATCACCAGTAGAGAGATGCAAATTAAACACAGATTCCATCTCAGTCTCGAAAGAATGACTATTACCAAGATCAAATATAACAAATACTGGTGGAGCTGTGAAGAAAAAGGAACCCTTCCCCACTGTTGGTGGGAGTGTAGACCGCTGCAACCACTATGGAAATCAGTGTGGAGATTCCTCAAAAAACTAAAACTGGAGATTCCATTTGACCCAACTATTCCCATTCTTGGTATCTTCCCAAAAGAATTAAAAGCATCATACCATAACAGTATATGCACTCTCATGTTTATAGCAGCATAGTTTATAATAGTTAAATCTTGGAAACAGCCCAAATGTCCATCAACCGATGAATGGCTAAAGAAGATGTGGTTCTGTTTATACAATGGAATGCTATTCTGCCATAAAGGATTAATTTGAGACATTTCTAGGTAAACGGATGCTTCTTAAAACCATACTCCTAAGTGAAATAAATCAGACACACATGTTCAAATCACATGGTTTCTCTGGTACAAGAAACTGAAATAAAGACCAAAATGTGTAATAGATACTGTGAAATAGGAAAAAAAAATGCTCAAATGGGAAGGGGAATTACAGACAAAGGAGAGGGAAGGGAAAAGGAAAAAAGAGAATAGAAGAAAAAAATGGAAACAAAGCTTTTGTAAAAAAGGAGGCAAAGAAGGATTAAAGAGAGGGGTGGTAAAGCAATAAAAAATAAGAATCAAGATTTATCACATACAGGTACAAATTCTATATGATGAATGTTATCATTATGTACATCTAAAATGCACCAATAAAATTAACTTTAAAAAAAAGACTATCACTGTTTTTCTATTTTAGTCACTGCTATATTCCCAGATGCTAGAGCAACACAACTAGCATTTATTTAGTGGGTACTCAGCAAACATTCATAAATGAAAAAATGAGTGCTATGTAGGCTAAAACACTTTCCCTTGTTAGCATAATCTTTAGAAAACAATATTCTGAACTGTGGAAATATCAAACCAAGACAGGCCCTAGACTTCCTTGCAAATTGTCTTTTGCCAAGTCTATATCAAGTCTTCCATACAACTTCCACCTCACCAGATATTCATCCATTTGCTAAGTTGGTCATTAAACATCTCAGAGCCCTACTATAATAACTATAAATCTTTTGCTTTATCTTTAAAATATCTTAGAGTTCAGATGAGTAGAATGTGTAAAATAGCTTGTTACCTATTAGGCTATATTTATACAAAAGATCCTTAAATATGAAAATAAAGGTTCCAATCAGATCTGCTTAGTCTATCATATATTTCTAAGAATTTTCAAAACTGTAAGAATTCTCAGACTTACCTTATGAATAGCACAAATTACAAGTGTTCATTTACTACTGTTTGCCACTATGAACAAGGCAAAGAATAGATTTTACCAGAATGGCCTCATAAATAATAGTTAACTAGATGGAGTTAAAATCTGGGGTCCAGTCTGAAAACAGTTTTGTACAGATAAAATGTAATTGGGAAGAGCCGCTCATGGAGATTAAAAGTTTCTTTAACCAGAAAGAAAAATCATTTGATTTGTCTCAAATGAAAAATTAAGATCAGATGAATGACATTTGAGCTTATTTTTATATGCCTTGTGAACATTCATCTGCCTCAAGATAATGGGTTCACATTATAGCAGTTAAAAGTCCTTTGAATACAAAAGTGAATGTAGAAAAACTGTCATGAAATAAAAACACAATGAAACTTTTTCATAATCATTTTCCAGCAAATAACATTTCTTAAATTTCAAAGCAACAAAATAGCAAATACAGTTCTGTAGCTATTAGAAAGAACTTTTAAAAATTATGCTATTTGAAGTAAGGTTAACAGGAAAGATACCATAAAAAAGTTTAACTACATTTCAGTTCTAGAAAAGTAAGAAAACTCCTGTAACACTTACTTTGTAAATAGTGCAAAACCATCAATACAAGGCTATAGCTGCTTAAAGTACCACGACTGGCATCATTTATCTCATGGTGATTTGCCCACTTCTTAATCACCAGCACTAAAGGACGAACTCGATTTTCAACTGCAAGTAAAATTAAAACTTAAAAATGGTAAAAGGAGTACAATTTCTTTGAAAATTTAGATAATTTCCCAACTTCCATACCCATTTAAAAAAAATGCCTCCTGTGCCCTTAACTCTGTGTTCACCATAAATGTGTGGCTTACTTCTAAACTTACCTTAGCCACCTTTTAAAAACTATTATTTATTAAAAATGGATTTGATTTACCTGTAACTCCGGTAGTATATGACTCAGGGTAGCAACATACAATAAAAATAAAACACATTATACCTAAACACAACTAAAGGGGTGCTACTATTACTACAGACATTTTTTAAAAGAAATAAAGAATGAAAGAAAAACAGAAGCTAATAATTATTTAGAAATAAACCAAAAACTTACGGTATGCGTAAGTTCTGAGAAGGAATGTGTTTCTTATTCCAACAATATTGTTTACATTCAAGTCAAACTCCACACAACTATTTAAAAAAAACAAAGTAAAGCAAACTTTAGCTCAAGTACAAACAATCCCCGCTCCCAAGTAACTACACTAACACCAATCCATACACTGACTTCACAAGGGCACAGCCCAGGCTGTTTTCTAAATGAGGCACAAAAGAAGTAAGAAAAAAACATATTTAGCATGTATTTTAATCTAATTTGATATATACTAAAAATATAAACTAAGATTACCATTAAAAGATCTGTAACCTAGTAAGACTTCAATTACTCAAAAGAAAATAAAATTTAAATCTTGTAACTTCTCCAGATGAACAAATTATAGAACAAAAACATTTCTGGACAAGAATCCACCAAGTTATCTATACTTAAATAACTTGGAACTACAGCACTGTATACTTTAAAACAATAGTAATAAAAAGCCAAATAAAATGTAAGTGAAAAAATAAAAGAATAAAGGTTCTATCTATACATGTTCCTTCTTAAAAAGGCTAGTAAATTATAATAGCATGTCAAAGGTAGCTAGTGATATCTAGGAAGAACTGTAATAAACACATTACAGAAAGGATAGTTCTTTTAAAAGCAAAAATACGCAATTTGCCATTTAGAAAATAGAGCAATAATGATGAAATCTACAATTATAAAATCTACAATCAAGTAAGAATTGCTTTGTATAAGTTCCACTTAGATCCATAACCTATGATATAATTTCTTCTGAATATTCCATCTTTCTATGAAAAAAGACTGCCTAAAATAAAAATGAATTTTCTTTCTATAACATTTAAAATTATAAAATCTTAAATTTAATTTTTCAATTTCTCATGGGGGAGCTAAAGAAACCTTATAATCTTTCCATTATTCTTATTAATAAAATGAAGAGTGGTATTAACATTTCAGATATACATATCTGACTTTGGTATACTTATAATAACAGTTACATTCTTTAATTAGGCTTGTCTAAGTCTAACATTGGGGCCAGTCTGTACTTTTACCATATAACTAAAAAGAGATGAAAAATTACTCACAAACTAGTTTGCAATTAAAAACTTTTCAAAAAAGTCAATTCAGAGCTTTAATGTTATCCACAGCAATTGTTTCAAATACTACTTCTAGAAATGTTAAGTAACCATAGATATGGAAAGAATTTTACAGTAGCTGATAACCAGAAATAAACCAAATGTTCAAATTTACAGGAATGATTAATTACAATTTACTCAACAAAATACTGCAGTCATTAAAAATTATATCATAGGAAAACATTTAATGATATAAACAAGGATTCATGATATACGGTAAAATAAAACTATCTCAATTTTACTTTTAAAAACTGTTGTGCATTCACTTTCATATAGAAAGAAACTAAAAGATTTACACCAAAATGTTTAGGAATGGAGTTTTTTGTTTGTATATGGCAGCAATGGCAAACCTTTTAGAGCTTTCAATGATAAAAAACTGCTCACTACAACATATGTCAGTGTGCCACAGGTTGCCACCACTGGTCTATGGGGTGTTCTGGGTTTTTTTTATGTGTGTGTGTGTGTGTGTGTGTGTGTGTGTTTTGCAGTGTTAGGAATGGAACCTAGGGCAAGCTCTCTACCACTGAGGTACTATATGTTCAGTTCATTTGTGATTTGTAGACAGAAAAATTATGAATGTAGTCACATAAAACATTTAACCCAAAGTTTATATAACAATCTTAAATAAAAAATAAAAAATTTTATGTAATTGTGAGTACTACTATACATATATATATATATATATATAGATAGATATTTTAAATTATAATTAGTTACTATTATTACTTAAGTTTATCTTCCTATATATTTTACATTCTATTGTTGTAATCCTTGTTGAAACAGGGACTCACTATGTTGCTCAGGGTGTCCTGGAATACTCTATGTATCCCAGGTTGACCTTGAACTTACGATTCTCCTCTTGCAGCTTCTGAAGTGCTGGGATTATAAGTATGTACCACCTCACCTGACTATTTTATGTCTAACACTACTTGGCAGAAAGTCAATAAATATTTAGATATTGAATGGATGTTTAAGTAAATGAAAAAAGAAGGCCAATCCAAGCATTAAGATTTGTTTAAAATATATTTATTCAGTCATTTCTTATCATTGAAAGTAGCTATGTTCTATAAAATTGCTGCAAACACTGAATAAGCAAATAATGAACCCTTGCTTCTATTAGGGTTAGGTCTCAGCCAACCTGGTCACATTTTCATCAATTAGTCAATACATAATCTTGATTTATGTTGTTTAAAAACATCTTATTTAATAAATATTTATCAACAGTATATTCATGGAGTCATAACTCATACACATGAGTTATAGTGCTCTTGCCTACCGTATGAAAGCTTGGATATCTATCTCTTAAACCACAAAAAGGGAGGGAGAGAGAAATAGGGAGGGGAAAAGAAAAAAAAAACTGTCCCAAAACATCTGTTTAGTATATTCTAAACACATTAACACGTTTTCTCCATAGGGTACATCACAACCTACTCACACTTAGGAACACTGGACCACACCCCAGTACCATGCTTAAGGGTTACTCTACCCAGAAAAAGCACAAAAATTCACTAGACTGTTAAGAATGATGTTTGTTTTCAGCATGAAAGCTGAAACAAATGGGCAAAGCGGACCTTATTCAACCTCAGCTGAAAATACGGGAATCAAATGACTCAAAAATGTTTACCATTCAGTGTGTGTCCTTGAATCATCTACTTCTAAAACACGTATGGTGTATAAATATTGTTAGAGATGGATACACACTAATTTTAAGCAGACAAATAATCTTAAGTAGGAATCTATGAATAAGAAAGCTCAATCCTGTGTGGATATGTGTACTTGTGTTTGTGTGTGTGTGTGTGTGTGTGTGTATACACACATATACACACAATTTTAGTATTGCTCTTGTAAAACTAGACTAGAAAAATCTAATTTATCACAATCCTATGTTGAGAAAACAGTAACCAATCTTTAAATAACACTTAATCATTTCATTTTATATTTAAATATTACATGGAAGACTCTAACAACCAGGCTGTGAAAATATACAGAAAAAATTAATAAATTTTCAGATGGACTAAGTACATTTTGCTTCCATATTTATTATTCTAAGTGTTATATGTATCATTCACTAAAATGAATCATAATTTGTTTAGTAATTAACAACAAATTCCTTGATATATATGTATGTATGTATATACATACACACACACACACACACACACACACACACACACACACACACACACACACACACATCAAATTTATCAACTAAGAAATGTTCTGGAAAATGCATTATACTTCCAAAGGGCAAGAGACCATTTAAAAATCCAAATATACATGTTTGAGGTAGATCAAAATATATAGTGAATGCTGAAATTGTACTTCTTAAATTTTTTTTTTACTTTTTTTGAGATGTAGTGTCTCACTACCATTTGTAGTACAGGCTGGCCTTGAACTCACTATGTAGTCCAGACTGGCCTCGAACTTGTGGTGATCTTCCTGCCTCAGTTTTCCATGCACAGGGATTACAGGTGTGCACCAGCACATTCAGCTATGAATGCTTTAAATTTTTAAAAATGTATTACAGTGGAAGATACATTAATACCCCTAAATATACTCTCTGTATCCTCAAAATGCTTCATAAATTGCTAAGAACAATGGGACAAGTACTTGCAAAATTAGGGAGAGTATTTTGAGTGGGATTAACGGCAATATTTTTTACTATAATACACTTGCTTAATTTAAGCATTCACATTTGTCAGTCACACCTCACATATATTCTTTAAGTTGGATAGTCTCAAATACTCAAATGTCAAGCAAAGTACAGTTAAGCATGAGAAACACTGCTCAGAGTATTTAAAAAAATTATTTCAAAACCCATGATTTCTAAAACCTGATGATAATTAGGTACTGTACTAAAATATACATTTAACTATCTATATTACATGTATTTCTAAAAATAATATAAAGCAACTCATTAAAAAGAGAGATCAGTGATTACTTACCTGACTTTATCCCTGAACTTCACAATTGGTACTTTTGCTCGAATCAGTTGAGGTCTCTCAATGTAGCCAGCTACAAGATAAAAGACAACATGAATTGTACCAGTATTTCCCAAAGTCATTGTGTTCCAATGCACATTTTCAAGAATAGTATTTTACTACGCTAAAACTATTATGAAAATTTGCCTTTGAAAAATAAAGCAAAGCAATGAGGGCATTATGAAACTCTTAAGATTAAAGAGTGTAGGAATACCATTTAGAAAACTTCACATTAAGGTTACTTTCAAAAATTGGTCTAATATCTAACAGCACCTATAAAGAGTGCTATCAGAACAGGTTAGTGTAGTAGCAGAGCATTACAGGGAGTGAAAAATAGACTAACATCAAGGGGATGGCTAAATTCTAATATGGCAATAAGAAACAGTAGCCACAGAAATAATTTTTACAGTGTTTTAAATATGGAAATGTTTACAATGTGATATGTGAAGCAGGGATACATTGAAATAAGTATGAGCTCTAAGAGCAAAAAAATATACATTTTAATGCTATCAAACTTTTAAAAAAATTTATTCTGTTTCAAGTAATACATGTACATTTTAGAAAGTTAGGAAATCAGAGAAATATATAAATAAGAATCTTTTCCAAATGATTCATTTTCTACTTTTTTAACTAAAGGACAGAGCAGGTTTTATAAGAAAAACAATTTCTTACTTTTTTTAACCATTAAAATGATAAAATACATGTATCAAGCAAAGTTACCAAACCCAATCACTTGTCGCCTTAACTGTTAAAAAAAACATCCAAGCTGGGCATAGTGGTGCACACCTACAATCCCAGCACTTGGGAGGCAAGGCAGAAGGATCACTGCAAGTTTGAGGCTAGTCTGAACTACATAGTAGAATCCTGTCTCAAAACAATCTAAAAAAAAAAAAAAAAAAAAAAAAAAGAAAAACCTTTTTTTTT